TTATACACGATAAGGAAAAGATTTAAGTTTGACATAATAAGAAATCAAGCTATAAAGTAAAAGATTATGGGAGCATACATTTGTTGCCTCTTACAGAGGAAAGCGTCGGGTCTTGAAATTTCTGGGAAAGAGGCACAAAATCAGTTTAACATGATATCTAGTGATAAGATCTTGCGTGGATTGTGAGTTTCTTTGGACTAAGTAATGTAATATCTCCTCGTCTAAAACAATCGGGTTTCTTAACCCGTTAAGAACTTCATTAATAATTCCGTAAAAATATTCATCGACAAATAATCCGTAATTCATAAAGGTTAAGGCGTAGGTGGAGTTAAGGATAACGACCAAACTCGAGCCGGGGATCATCCAATCAAGTTGCATTCACCGAATAATTAAACACCGAAAGCAAAACGGCCTCCGCCGATGCCGACATTAAACCAAAATGCACATAAATAGGCCCACATCACCCTGACACTGACATCATCTTTAGCCCCCAATCCTTAACCAAGTCCAATCCGTAGGCCTCATCCCAACCTGTACTCACTCTTGGGTTAGCTTCATACGAACCCCTTGAATTTTGGAAGGTTTTCCACACAACCCCTGGTTGGAATTGTAACTTAAAATTTACTCTTGAAATGGGAAAGTTTAGTCCCACATTGGATAGGAGATGGGAACGAATGTTGCTTATAAGTCTTTCCTTTCTCTCCTCTGCTTAGAATCAAATATGGGTTATGCTCCACACCACACACGCGCGCGCCTAATCGAACCGGTGCGATAATTGTGCATCTAAACGGCGAGAATTATGGATCTAAACAGCTGTTTTCAACATATATATATATATAGACCTATAGCCGCGAGAGCTTGATACAGAGAATTACAACAGATCTTCTCATTTTCTCCTCTTTTCGAAAAATCTCTTCTTGCTGTTACATTTGGCTGGTTCACTAAAAGTATACGAAGAATTCGCAAATCCTTCTTGAAGCTCGTGCCGACGAGAAGGAGGTCGCCTGACCGAGGGTCGTCGTATCTCCGAGATCTATTGTCGCGTAGCCTGTACGAGAGGGGGCAATTAGACTCTTGGGATAGTGTCTAACATGCTTTGATCATCAGATTATGTTATTTAACTCTATTTAATTTTGTGGGGGCCACATGGGCCACATCCATGAGCGGCGGAAACCGCGTAAGGAGTTCGTACTAACGCGTGAGGAGATTGTTTGTTTAAGGGAAGTGGGGCCCACCCCACGCGAGACACCCTCCAGCCCAGCGGTTTTTGGCCTGGATTCTCTGCTATATATAGCGTGTTCTTTCTAGGGTTTCGTGTGCA